GGTTGCTGTAATTGTACTGATAGGTTTTGACAATTTCCATCTGAAGAATTATTTTCAGGAAGAATGTCAGAAGATAGCAGGAAGGAGCGATGGAACAAGAAACGAAATGGAGCCGGAAATATGTTCAAAAAAGGAAAGGAATTATCATGGCGAAAGAGTAAGTTGCAATTATTTTTTGGAAGGGTAACTTCATCGAGAAGCCATTTTAAACAAAAATGTTAAATAATAAGTTATATTTGATATGCGTGGATTATTTAACAGTTAGAAGTATATCAAGTTGGATGATGTCGAAACATGGATGATAAGTGCAGCATTATTATCACTACTAATTTTATGAGATTGTGAAAGGAATTGTGTCTTCATTTTTCTTTGTATCTGTCAGCATTTTGTTTGATCATTTAAAAGATCGACAATAAATATCAGGGAAAGCTGCAGTGAAGCAATTTCGCGAAGATACGTTATTGGAACAAATGATTCGAAAACCTGAACTTACTGGCATTTCAACAGTGGACACGAGTGGTGATAATGTGAATGAAACAAGGAATCACGGTGAGTAAAACAAATAAGGCATGTCATTTGGTTTCATATCCAGGAAGTTTTACACTTTATGATGATGCTAAGTTCAGTTTGAAATGCTGGTAGCTTTGTACTAATGCTAGGCCATCAATAGCTTTTTTTAAACTCTTTAATGTGATTACGAATGAAACTGTTGAATTAAGAGAAATCGTATTTATTTCGAGTTTTACTTATTACTTAAATGATGAGTTTCCAACTACAGTTAGAAATAACAGCGACGAGATAAAATAACTGTAGCTTCGCTTTTTTTTTGGCCTTAACTGGAAAGATATCGTCATTTTTGCTAAATTAGTTTTGAACTATTACTTTTTTTCTTTATCTTGTATTGGTGGATAATGTTTATATTTCAGTGTTTAATGAATTCAGTCATTTCAGCAAAGTCTGTGATGTTGAGCATAGCACTTCCGGGTTCAATACTGAATAATGCACAAAGTCCAGAGCTAAGAACCTATCTCGCTGGGCAGGTAAACATATATTTTAGTTTTAGCTGTTAGTTGATAATGGAATTTACCATCGTTTGGATCTTGTCGCACTTATTTTTTGAATGTAATTAGAAAAATATCATTTTTGCTGAGTTAATTTTGAGCTTTGATTATATGTTCCAATGTTTAATGAATTCATAGATGTGCTATTAGAGATCTGGAAGATACATTGTTTTTGATTTTTAATGAATGGATTTACTCACGTTGTTTGAAAAATATGAAGATAACATGATCACCTTGAATGCGCTTAGAAAATATAAATTACAGATAGCGCGTTCAGCCGCAGTGTTCTGCGTCGACGAAATTGTTATTTATGATGAAACATCTCGAATGAAACCACAGTTGGTTTATTTTCTTACTCATGTGTTATGGTTCATGGAATTGCCTCAGAATCGATTTGTAAAAGATTTTTGTATTCAGATTTGTTTTCACTGTATTAATTTTGTAGGCAGCGTGAAGATTACTACAGTGGACAGTGGTGTCCAAATTTGCCTGTTCATAGTGGTAATGTAGAATGTAACTTTCATCTGGCAAAAATTCTGGAATTTATGGAGTGCCCGCAGTACTTGCGGAAAATCTTATTTCCTCTTCAAAAAACGTTAAAATATGCAGGTAAATGCAAATCGATTCTGAAATATTTTAATGCTGTTTCTAGAGGCTGAACTTTTCAAGGAAAAACTTTCTTTTTTCTTTACTGACTACCAAGTAAATACTTACCAAATTCAGGTATTCTGAATCCGCTAGATTGTCCTCATCATTTGCGTGCATCAGACTTAAGTATTCCTTATAGAGAAGGTGTTGTGCTAGATAAGCCTATGAAAGCAGGTCGTGGACCTATTTGTAACATCGGTCTGTACAAGGTGTGTTAATTTTCTGGCATGAAATGGAATTCGGATAATTCGACTCTTTTTTCTAGTAATGTCAGTATCATCTTGAAGCGTTTTAATGATTATCTTTCTTCTTCTGATTTCCGTAATTTAAATTTGCATACTTTTTGTTGCAAATATAAGAAATACTTTTAATTTAGGAAGTTCAAATTAATAAAGAAGTTGCACTTAAATCTGGAACTCGTGTTACTGTGAAAGTATTGGATATCTACTCGGGTATTCGTGTTTCTTCATGCTTTTATGCTACCTCCAATTTATTGAGGTGGTTATCATTTCAAAATAGTTATGAAATGAGCTAAGGATAAACGAGATCAGGGAATTGTGTTCGATTTTTTATCTCGGCAGTTTCGACGTACTTCTACAACGGCTGGACTGTTTGATTCTGCATCACATGAATGATTGTCTGGAATTCATATAAAGTGTTTGGATTTAATTTTCAAATAACTAAAAAATAGTTGAAAGCACAATATCAAGAAAATGAAATAATAGTTACTAATAAAAAATAAAAACAAATGGGATATTATCGGAAGAAATGTAGAAAATTTTTTTCTGCAGAAAGAAAGCGATATCACGGATGTTTGGTAAATGCTCAACAAATAAAACAAGAAACTGGATTATACTGGGGCTATAAAGTACGTATTGCTCTAAGTCTTCACGATGCATTGAATGCTGAGGAATATGATGTTATCATTGGAACTTCAGAACGGGGGAAACCAGTGAGCAAATTTCAAATGCCATTGTATGAAAGGAAGTAAGTTTTTTTTTTTTGTTGCAAATCAGTTAAATCAGTTATTCCGGAATGTAACGTAAATGTCAAAGTTGGTGTGGAAGTAATTTATTTTGGTTTTGCAAGCACTCTTAAGGGGGAGTAATTTCTTTATGCAAAATGATTTTTTATAATTTAATTTTTCAGCCGAGTTTTAATCGTTTTTGGTGGGCTAGAGGGCTTAGAGGCAGCCGTAGAAGCCGATAAAAGTATTAATTGCTCAACTCCTGAAGAACTTTTTGAACACTACCTAAATGTTGTACCTCGACAGGGAAGTCGAGTCATTCGGACGGAAGAAGCTATACCAATTACTTTGGCTGTCTTGAGACCTGTGATTTGTACTTTATGAAGTGTGTTCTTCTTGTTTATTCTGGTTCGGAAAAGATGATAAAAACTGATATTATGTTTCTCTTGAACTTGAAAAGTTTCAAATCTTTGCAAATATCTGGTAACAATACTAATATAAATTTTTGCCGAGTTTTTTGTTTTTAAAAATTTTTTTTGAGAAGAGATAGAAGTCGCTTCCAAATTTGTTTAACTGTATCCAAAATAAGAAAAGGAAAGAAATTGTATCCTGAGATTTGGTAGTTAGTATTATATGAGTGGTTTTACATGTTATAAGGTTTCTAGCGTTTGATGTTGGCACGGCGATGGTTTGTTATTGACATTCACAAATTTCTTCTACAAAAACGAACGAGCTTTGGAGATCATACAGTAAGTTAATTTTGGAAGAAGAATTCTTTACAAATTTTGTACAACTAATGAAATTTTTTTTTCACATTATTGGTGTTGACAAGTAACATTTCTCGACATGGATATTTCTCATTTCAAAAATCTATACTCGATAATTCAAGAGAGTTTACTGCACATTGTAGGT